GCGGGCGGATTGGGAGTTGGTGCAACAGACTTGTCCTTGAAGTTGCTCTCAGCGACCCTCAAGAGACCTTGGAGTTTGCTTAGGGTGACCTCTTCTTTGTTCATGTGATAGGTCATCCTAAATTGATTGTAGCTCGGAGGCAAAGAGTGAAGCACCATGTCGATCGCCAAGTCTTCCCCAAAGTCAACATTTAACTTGCGAAGGCGGTCGACATACCTTTGCATCTTTTGCAAGTGCACGGTAAGAGACTCTCCATGACCCATCTTAGCGGAAATCATGTTCGTGAAAATCTCATAACGCTCTTGTCTCGCGTTTTGATGGTATCCTCCAATAAGTCTTGTGCATTTCGTACGGATACATGTCCTCGTAGGACTTTTGGAATTCGGAGTTCATAGTCGCGATCATGATGCAATGCACTTTCGTTGCATCACGCTCGTGAGTTTCGAAAGCGGTGATTTCGGCGGGAGTAGCGATTTCGGGGTTGATTTTCTCGAGCTTCTCATCGAGGACATACTCCTTATCCTCATAGCGAGCAATCGTGCGAATGTATCTTATCCATTCGCTAAAGTTCGTTCCATCAAAGGTGACCTTTTGACAAAGGCTCATCAAAGTGAAAGAACTCGCAGCAGCATTGTTGCGTTCGACATCTACAAATAGAAAGGACAAAGATAGATTAGAATATGAATCCCTAATATTCACCCAATAAGAAATTAGGGCTAGGATCCAACAACAATATTTACACATTAGAAAAGGGATGCGTAATCTAACATGCAAACAATTTGAAGGTAAGTGAATGACGATTCACTAATTCTCCACCATGAAAAACATAACTTTAAGTCCTAAATGTATTGAGAATTCCTAGGTTCGGATGAGATTCATTGAAACTTTTCAATGGCATGTTTAAATCTCGATATGCCCCTCTTGTTTGTGATTGGGATACCGAGGATCACAAAGCGGGTGTGAATTACCATGCAAATTAACATGGTGCCTTCATTGTAACGATCACCTATTCGATGTGCCGGTAAACCACACACGCTCCATCGAACTATGATAAACAATGAATCACCCTTTGCCACCTTCGCTTAGAACCAATTAGTGTGCCGGTAAACCACACACGCTCCACTAACTTCTTAGCAAGGTGCAAAGTGTAATTTCATGGGATTGCATCAATTCACTTTTCCTAAAGTAACTAAGATTGGGAAATTTTAATAAAACATGTAGTTACTTTGTATTTCTTATTATACTTTTAATGAGAGGATGAGGTTGCCCTATCCTACCCGTTCGGCTAACGACCCTCCACCAATCAAGCGAGCGGTGGGTGTGAGTGTACACCCATTAAGCGCCATTTTATAGGCCGCAACCTTATACCCACCTTATAGACCGGCTTCGTGAATGAGGCCTACTAACGGTAAGACTAGCATTTAAGTTATATATATATATATATATATATATATATATATATATATATATATATATATATTAATCTTGTAATATTATATTAGTATAGGGTTGTATTTTAAACTTGTAAAATTCTAGGGTTTGAAATTTAAATTGTCTAAATTAAACTTTTAATCACAAAACATAAATTTCAAAACTTGAGGACTAGTTTTAAACATTTAAAACATAAAGGATCAAATAACAAATAATCTAATCACATAATTATCCATATTTGATTAATAATTATCATATAAGGAAATCAAATATTTTATTAATTGATAATTATCTTCAATTAGATCAAAAATATAGTCATATATATCACAAAATCGGATTAGGGTTGATCTAATATGATTAAGGTAAGTTTCCATAAGATAAATATGAAAAAATCCCGTTTTTGGCTAATCCTGACGCTCGGACTCGCCGAGTACACAAAGGGACTCGCCGAGTCAGGCCTACTCGCCGAGTCCACTTTGGAACTCGCCGAGTCCATGACTCAGAAACATGAAAATCGAATTTTTCATTTTAGTTTCATACAATCAAGCAACAATTCAATGAAAACTAAGCTAAGCTCTGATACCACTGATGGGTTTTTGCCATAAGAACTTTCCTATGTGCGCATGTGTAGCACCTGGTTTCCGGTATGTGAATTTTATTTGAGCATTTCCCTATTTTAGCCTTGGACTCGGCGAGTCATAAGGTCCGACTCGCCGAGTAGGGACGAGACTCAGGACACGTTTAAGTGGGCGACTCGGCGAGTCCATATCCTGGACTCGGTGAGTCACCGCTGATGAATGAAACCCTAAGTTTCAAGGGTTTGCACCCTATTTAAACCCTCATTCCGCCCCAACTCGTCCCCATTCACCCCCAGAACTCTCCAGCATCGTTTTTCCCTTATTTCCTTGAGAGATTGAAGTGCTCTTGGTGTGTTCTTGAAGGTTTTGAGGAGAAAGAGGTGTAGATCAAGAAGAGGAGAAGGAGATCAGGCATCTTTGTGTCATTTCAACATATTCCTTGAGGTATAGCTCGTTTCCCCTCTGTTTTCAAGCTTGTAATCCCTTTTTGCTTCATTGGAGTCCTTCTTGGGCTCTTCCCCAAGCTTGTTTGTGCTTTGTGGGTGATAATAAGTTGTTAGCCTTTAGATCTAGGCATGATCTAGTCCCTGGAACTTGGATCTAATGCCTTTATGGGGTCATATTGCATGAAAGCCCTAGATCTACCCCTTTTGGTGCACTTTGAGCCTTAAAATCCATATTGGTGAATATCTACACGTAAAGTTGGAAACTTTACGTGTGATTTGTGTCCTGGAAGCCCAGATCTGTGAATGGCATGGACTGGAATCGAGCAAATCGGTGTATTTGATGGATGCATGGCTGCGACTCGGCGAGTCATCTATGACTCGACGAGTCTGGTCGTGAGTCACTGAACCGGTCCCTTTAAGATGTATCGAGTTGAGCCGTGAGTCACAGGGGGTGACTCGGTGAGTTGGAAGCTGAACTCACCCATGATAGGACTCGGCGAGTCAATGCCCTGACTCGGCGAGTCCAAGGCAATCTTCATAGATCAAGAACAGACTCGGCGAGTTGTTCATACAACTCGGCGAGTCTTAGCATAAAGTGTTCTTCGGATGAAGATGAACTCGACGAGTTGTTCATACAACTCGGCGAGTAGGATGAAGAGGGTGAACGTCAGTTTAGAAGATGAACTCGTCGAGTCATAGCCCAACTCGACGAGTAGAATCAGGGACCCAGGACAATAGTTTGCTAGGGACTCGGCGAGTGGAGATCCACTCGGCGAGTCGGGTAAACTAATAATTGACTTCGATTTGACTTAGGGCTAGACCAGGGGTAAAATGGTCTTTTTACCCAAAGGACAGTTAGCAGTGTATGATTAAGTATATTGTGGGAATTACAGCCGGGGAGTTTCCGGAGCAGCAGCAGCAGTAGTAGGTGATCAATTCCCACACAGACCAGCAGCTATTTCGAGGTGAGTTTCCTTTCATTAGTAATGGGTCTAAGGCACCAAGGCCGGTCCGTATAGATGAGACGTTAGTATTATAGTGTGGGCCGAGCCCGTATCTATTAGTCGGGTTGATTGTGATATATATACCAGTATGATAGAACTGTTTATACTTGTTGTCTGCGTGATACTTGTATGATATGTGTTGACGGTTGGGTGTGGGCGAGGCCCGTATCCCTCCGAGAATGGAGTGTGGGCTAGGCCCGTATCTCCCAGGTAGCGAAGTGTGGGCGGGGCCCGTATCTTCACGAGTGTGGGCGGGGCCCGTATCTCTCAGAAAGTGAGGTGTGGGCGGGGCCCGTATCCTCACGAGTGTGGGCGGGGCCAGTATCTCCTAATTGCATGTTATTTGTTATATGTTGTATAGTATGGGGGAGCTCACTAAGCTTTGTGCTTACGGTTTCAGTTTTGGTTTCAGGTACCTCCTCAACTAGGGGAAAGGAGCCGGCACGGTAGCAGCATGTCACACACACACTCTTCGGTTTCCGCATTTACGAGATTCACTGGGATTGTACTCTGATATTTGATGGATTGTATGGTTTGAATATTAAAACATGGTTTGCGATGTGTTATGGCGTGATTAAACAATGCTTTTATTTACTAATGTTTACTAAAAGTAATATTTTAAAATGAAAATTTTTGGACATGAAAATTGGGTCGTTACAGCATGCAAAACCCTAATGCTTGGATCTAGGCTTTATAATCAAACATGCTTTGAATCCAAGACTTCTAATGACTATTTAGGTGTAATAACAATGTTGAAACAGATCTAGAATCATACCTTTGAATTCCTTGTTGATCTTGTTGTTTTGGAGCTTCTAGAGTCACAATTGTCACTCCTCTAATGGCTTACAAACACCAACTAGCAAGGAGGATGATTTGAGAGAGAGGAGAGGGAAGGAATTCGGCCAGAGTATCTTTACTTTGGATGTGTGTCAAATTCTCTATCTCATAAGGTCTCTTTATACTTGTAGACTCCTTAAGGGTTACAGCTTAAACCCTAATTGGATAACTTAGACTTTAAGTGATCCTAATCCTTACTTTGGATAACCCTTGGATGAATTTGATGCTATCCCAAGCCCTAGAATTCGTCCATCCTCTATCCAATAAGGATTTACAGTCTAAAGTGTAACTATCAAACAATTGACAGTTTATACCCTCTTATTTAATTAATCTCCTTAAGTCACCAAATTAATACTAATTAATCTATGACTTATATTAATCAAATAACTATATATTATTCTTTATATTATTCTCATAATATACTAATAATATTTACTTTCTATTAATAAATCATCCTATCAAGTTGCTATGGTGAAGGCAACCCAAAAGGACCATGCACAATCGGGTCAAATACTTGCCTAATATAGTTGCAGCCTTAGACACTATTCCAACAAATATTTTATCAAAATACCAACTAACTGGTTTAAGCATATCATTTACCAAAATATCAATGGTTTAAGCATATCCTCAAACATAAGCATTTGAAAAAAAAAACAAAATAGAAAATAAAATGTTTGTATGTAATAAGCCAATATAATAAATTTTCAAACTTTCTTCATTTCCAAATTGTCTCTTGCTTCACTGCCTTCTTTCACCAACATACACCTAGTTTTCTTATCAAGTTTTGAAAATTCCAATGCTTCTACAACATTCAATTTTCTCTGCTTGTTGATTTGATGGTTTGCTAGCTTAGAAACATAAAATGTACGCAACTTTGCAATCTTCTTAGATGTCCTAACACTTTCTTCTCCCAATTCCACATCCCATTTTTCTTCTTTCTCACCCATGTATTTTTCCATATGCCTCATCAAAAATATACCATCATCATTTGTCTTAGTTGTTGTTTGCCATGCCATTTTCATTTTCTTTGGCTTCATAGATTTAAACAAAGAAACCTTATCTCGCCGATTGTTGTCCAAAAACTTTGTAAAGCACATTTGCTGCAATGCATATTAATAAAATACCATTATTTTTCTAAAATGATAACTATATTAAGTAAATAAATCTTATAAGAATATAAATATTATATTTTATATTCTAATCAGAATTTATTTACTAATACAAAGTGGTTTTTTAAAGTAAACAATTATGATTAAAATAAAGTTTTTAGATTTATGCAAGAAACATTTACCACAAGTTTAGGAATCTCTCTATAGACATCTTCTACTTTTTTGGTGTATCTTATGTTGCCAATGATTATATGTTCTGGATTTTTAAGGTTGAAAAGAAGACAATAAAATGACCACGGTTGTGTATTGGAAAAAACACATGTAGTTCAAACATAAATACAAATGAATTTTTATAAATTTTAATGTGAATATGTTATCTTGTAATAAAAAATACATACCAAATTAATAGAATTGAAATCCACTTTTCTTTTGATGTCATATAAGTAATTGTTTACAGCCTCATCAAAAAGTCGGGATCTTTCAACAAAAGGTATTGAAGAATCCAATAATTTTTCTATCTGTACATATAGAATAATAGAAATATTATAATATATTGTTACAAATTATAATTAGAATATAGAAAATAAATTTAAAAATTAAGTACCATAATTTGAGTGTTGAAGAAGACACGTGGTGGTGATTTTTTGTTTCTCAGGTTTTCTTCTTCAAAATTAAGAACAACAGCCCAACAATCAATAACGAAAGGATGTATCTTATGATTTGGAAGCATACCCTCAAAATGCACCCTATCCATTATGTCTCCAGACTCAGTTTCAAACAGCATTTCCCTTCAAACAAAAATATTGAATTGTAGTTAAAATATTCCAATAAGAATATTACACAATTATGAATTTACTTACATTGGATCTTCATCTGCAACGCATCTAAACATGATTTGCGCCATTATCTCTTGCTCAGTACTGACTTTTTCACTTAAGTCAATTACCCTATTCACAAAAGGTGATCTAAAAATATCTGGATTAATCACCTTCCTTTTCCCTCTTTCATTCACATTCTGACCCTTTTTCCCTTTCTCATCTAAAATATGCTCTTCATTCCCTTCTAATTCTCCATCTTCATCATTACCCTCAGAATTATCACCAGTTTCTGCATCGTTCATTAGTTGGGTTATTTGAAGATCAAAGGAAGGAAATTCTGAATTTTCAAATGTTAGCTTTTTTGGAACAGGAGATCTAACAAGTGGATTTTGAATTGTATTTGAATCTAGATTTCTGTTTGAGAATATTCTAAGCAAATCCTCATCCATTTCTTCTATGAATGAATCAGACCAAGGGGAAAAATCAATAGATATACCTTTTGGATTGTGTTTTGGTGTAACAATTGAGCTCTCACCTATGTTGTCTCCAACCACCTTCTCTACAATATTCCCCTCCCTATTATTCTCCCCACAAATCATTTTACCACCCTCAACAAGATTTTTGCTCTCAACATTGTCTTCTAAATTCTTCTTTCCAATAGTCTCGTCTATATTATTCACCTCTAAAGCCAAATTTATTTTGTCATCAACATTTATGCCTTCAAATTCTATTTGTCTTTCTGGATTATGCGGATGTCTAATCGTTTCCTCGCCAATATTATTCTCAAAACCCAAATTTATTCGGTCATCAACATTCATATCTTGATCTTCTTCTTGTGTTTCTTCATTCTCTGGAAACTTCTGTTGTAATGGTTTAACAGCTAAAAATGCAACCAACTTTGTATTCATTCCTTCATCTTTATCATCATCAGAATCAGAAATGTTTGTTTTATTAAGCTCTTCATCTCTATCTGCTTTGACTTCAGTTCTCTCCTTAATAGTTTTTGATTTCTCTCAACTAGAAACAAGTGTAGTTGAAAATATGTCTCTAAACTTTCTTATCATCTCCTTCGTTCTATTTTCTTTAGGGAACTTCGATAGACAATGAAAAATAATATCTTCCATATCATTCTTTTCAGTTGCGACATTGTTGAAATTTTTTTCATACTTTTCTTCATACTCCAGGGAAAAAAAGACATTAAAATATTTTTCTTATATTAAGTTAGGATATAATTAAAATATATTCTAAAATATAATTTAATAATATATTCTACTTAGAATATACCTCAATACGTGTGTCCTAATTCTCATTCACCTGATTTTCATTCTTCTCATGTTCTAAATTTGAACTTTGTTCAATTAGATTCCCAACCCCAACTCCACCAGCTTCAATCTCAAAAGATTGTCTTTCCTTCAACTAATCTGTTGTCCACATCGTAACTAATGGTGTTTTATGTTCTATTTTTTGGAGCTTACATTCAATTTCATCACAGTAAATTAGCTGCATTATTTCAACATCATATTAGATATCCATTTTTAAGAAAAAAAAAATAAGTATATGAAAAAATATACCAATAGCAACAACATCGGGCCTCTATAATAACACTTGGGGTTGTCTGGACGCCATCTCCCTTTTGAATTTTTCACACAGTACAACAAATATGCACACCAATCGATTTTATAAATGTCATCTACTTCAACAAGTGCTCTAACTGGAACTAAGTTGTTTGTCCCCATAGGAATGGATTCTGCAAACGTATTAACAAATAAAGCTATGAAACCCAGCTTGAAATTCATATCCACTTGTTCGGATTTTTGAATAATCTTCTTGTAGTTTGTTGCATTTGCCTTTCCGTCTTCAAGTTCCTTCATCCATCCATCAAACACTTAATGATCTTCACTAACAATGTCCAAGTCAAATAAGCTTTTTCCAGTTTTGGGTAAACCAAACACTTTATGAATTTTTTCCTTTGTGATCTTTATTCTTTTTCCTTTAATCAGAATACTGTTTGTGCCTTCATCATAATGCTTAAGCACAAAATGGCAAAGTTTTAAAGGAATACTCTTAATGTTGATCTTCAAAAATGCTTTAAATCCCATCCGTTTCACCCAATCTTTTTGTTCTGATGTCAAAGAACTTACAACATTTGTCATCAATCCAGGTGTCGATCTAGTGTTTATTGAAGGCAACTCCTTCAATATATCTTTCACAGTCTTTTTCTCTTTCACAGTTTTTTGTTTCTTTATTGCTGCACGATTGTCCCCACTATTCCTCTTCCTTTTTGCTTCTTTAATCTTTGTCACTCCTTCAACATATTTTCTATCACCGATTCTCTTTTTTACATAGATTTCTTCATCAGATTCATCATCTAATTCATCACATCAGTCATAGATGTTAGTAACCCCACAAAAATCCAAAAATCATATATCATTTAATTACAAAGTAATATTCCAAACAGAATATTATACATATACACTTATTATATCAGAATATTCTATAAAATTTAATCCAAAAAATACTATATCATCTAAGTAAAATGTAGATATTTATTCAAATTATATTATTTATAAAAAATTAAACTCAAATGTTGCAAAATCTTATATCAGCTAAGTAAAACAACAAAAAATCAAGTATAACATGATTTATGATATAATAATATATAGAATGTGTAATATGAACCATAAATATTTCATATCATAGAAAGATACTTTCACATCAATAAACAATAGAAAAATACTTTCACATCAAAATACCAAGAATTTCAGTTATAATCCATAAGGAATTCATGTCAAACATAGTCTGTGAAAACTATTTTTCGAAACACTCTAATATTTATATTGTTCCATAATATTGGATTTGTAAAGTATAAAATCATATTTCACAAAAAAAAAAAAAGTTTATATAATTTTACCCGTTGATTGTGTATATGATTCTGTCTCTGGTTCTGTTGAAGAATTAGAAACATGTTTTTTCTTTTTGTGTTTCACATCATTATGGATTAATTTGTTATGGCGCTTGAAATGTTTTTTGACTTTTCTTTTTTTCTTTTTATTGACTTTATCTGCATCAATAATTATTCTATTAGAAAAATATACTATACTTTTATTGGATGTCAACATATATATTATAAAAGACAACATATTTTACCATATTCATCACTCTCTGTTGTGGATATCTCTGACTCTGAAGATGAAGAATCTGAAACATAGTGTCTTTTTTTCTTTTCAAGTCTTTTTTTTTTTTTTTTGTGTGTTTTTAGCTGTATGAAGAAATTTAAAAATTGAAATAAATTAGAATATTTATTTTAATCAACTTGAATGTTCATAATAATCAACCGAAAAACATAAATCCAAAAAATTTATTTTGTTAAGTGTTTTAAAGAATGATTGTTGATACCTTTTTTAATTCTTTTTCTATGTTGTGAGGATGAATCAGAAGAAGAATCAGAGTCGCTTTCAGAAATAACAACGTTTTTTTTTTAATTTTTTTCTTTGATTTTCCTTCATCTGCCTTCTTTTTCTTTTGATTTACAATTTGCAAATCTTTTATCATGAAATTCAACAATTAAAATCAATTAGAATATATGATAAAACAAAATTAGAATATTCAAAATAACTAACTTAGAAAAATAAATCCAAACATTTGTTTTTTTTTTATGAATTATTTGAAAGAAAGTGTGTTCATACCTTTTTTAACCCTATCTTGACTCGCTGAATCTGTATGAAGAAAAATATCAAATAAAAACAATTAGAATATTTATTAAAAGCATTTAGAGGTTAATAAAAGCAATTATAATATTTAATCTAAAAGTAGTCACAATTTATACCTATATCGATATAAATTTATTTCCCTGTTTTTCTTACAGTTGCATTTGTTTGCACTTTTTTAGCTGCATCAATAACAACAAATTCCATTAGAATTTGCAAATCTTTTGTCATGAAATTTAACAATTAAAATCAATTAGAATATATGATAAAACAAAATTAGAATATTCAGAATAACTAACTTAGAAAAATAAATCAATTATAATATATTAGTTTATGATATACAATCTGGTCACAATTCTATAAATACATAACAAGAAATTTCTATTTATCAATCAACATAAGATTTGTCTTCTTTTTCTTTTGATTTACAATTTGCAAATCTTTTGTCATGAAATTTAACAATTAAAATCAATTAGAAAAATAAATCCAAACATTTGTTTTTTTTATGAATTATTTGAAAGAAAGTGTGTTCATACCTTTTTTAACCCTATCTTGACTCGCTGAATCTGTATGAAGAAAATTACCAAATAAAAACAATTAGAATATTTATTAAAAGCATTTAGAGGTTAATAAAAGCAATTATAATATTTAATCTAAAAGTAATCACAATTTATACCTATATCGATATAAATTTATTTCCCTGTTTTTCTTACAGTTGCATTTGTTTGCACTTTTTTAGCTGCATCAATAACAACAAATTCCATTAGAATTCATATTAGTTTTTTAGTTGCACGTTTTTAGCTGCATCAATAACAACAAAGCAATTATAATTTTTAATCTAAAAGTAATCACAATTTATACCTATATCGATATAAATTTCTTTCCCTGTTTTTCTTACAGTTGCATTTGTTTGCACTTTTTTAGCTGCATCAATAACAACAAATTCCATTAGAATTCATATTAGTTTATGATATATAATCTGGTCACAGTTCTATAAATACATAACAACAAATTTCTATTTATCAATCAACATAAAATCAACTAGAATACAAAGATTTTTTTTTGGCTAAACACTATACTACAATCATAATAAGAGATTTGTGTTACCAAAATCTATAGTATTAGAAAATTTATGGATCTAAATCTAATTAAATGATGAACAACTAGTTAGAATAACATAACATCTTTGCTGATTTTGATTAAGAATATTTAGATCAAATGAAATGGGGAATAATTAGAACACTATGTAGAGTTAACATTTAGATACATAGACTCTATATAAATCACACAATGAGATTTAGGTTTAGATTGTATGCTTTATAGTGCTATATTCCATTACATCCTGACTTCGACATATAAATCGCTAGTGAACTATCTCGATTATTAGACATTTATTGAATACACACAACGATTTAAAGTGAAAAAATTTCTATAATAAGAACAGATAGGTTTATTGAGTAAGAACAAGAGGTTTGTAGTATTATACTAACTTGGAACAGCTGTTGATACAAAATCAGAATCAGAATCTGTAGAATGAGCCATTTAATTCGATATCAAATTCAAAATCAAAAGGTTTTTAATGTTCTAGTTGATTATCCAGTGGTTTTCGTGTAAGAATCGGAAGATGAATTTCAGGTGTAATCAGACTCTGTCTGAAACAATGATCGAGATTTGGAAGCAGAACGGTGATCGAGATTTGGATCAAATGGGTTTTAAGGTTTCTACCGGGTGTTTTTGTGTGTTGAAAGAAAAAGAATGCAAAATTCCATTCATGCCCCTCCGTGTCTTGATCTAGTCCCAAATTTCCATTAATTTACAAAATTGCCACCGCCTATTTTATGGTTTAATCTGAATTAATATCAGCCTTTGATTATTTAGGATGAGTGGTCAAGATTTGGTCTCCCCGTCTCACAAGATCAAGTGGTCTCACATGAACCTATATATATATATATATATATATACACACACACACACACATGCCGTTTACCCGCGCCAAGCAACGGGTGTGACAATGGTGGTTGAATGCTGAAAGATGAATTAAACCCTAGAAATGGAAACGTCAGCGATATATATCCAAGATTTGTGAACAGAAATTGCGAGATTTGGGAAATACGGAGATAAGGAATGAACTGGGTCAAAATAGCCTAAGAATAAGGGTAAGAGATTTGACATTTTCAACTGTTGACCATATGTACTCTACTCTTTTTGTAATGCATAAATTGATTGTACAAATGCATTGTATGTTTGTACGACTTAAAATTCAGCATTTGACCAAAAATGCTTTATAAGGTTATATATATATATATATATATATATATATATATATATATATATATATATATATATATATCAGCCAAAGAGCGATACTTCAAAATTTCATCTGATATTGTTGAGGTAAAACTTGTTGAATCATATGTATGTTCGTTTGTTGACCTTGATGGGATTGATTGTGTGGATCCATGAGAATTGTGTTGTGATTCAAGGCTAGTAGTGTCTGTTTCAGGTGTGTGTGTGTCACATTACATGTCTTCATGAACTTGATATTCTTTCTTTGTGTAAATTTCTACAGTGAAAATCACACTAAGATCGGTTTGAATCTTGGAAGGTTTTCCCCCAATACCATGGCTTATCTTCCTTAAATTGTACATCTTTACTAATTCGGATAGCCAAGTATTAGGATCAAATAATAAATATGCTTTTGATCCTTTTTCAACTCTATGATGTACCACTTTCACACTTCGGTCTTCTAGTTTTGTGTGATGGCTTCCTATTGATCTCATGTGAGCGACACACCCAAATACCCCCAAATCCTCAATTTTTGGTTTTCTTCCTGCCCACATCTCATATTGGGTCGAGTTGTCAAGAGCTTTTGTAGTTACACGGTTCAACACATAAACAACAAGTCTTACTACTTCACGACATTAAGGATCAGGTACACTCATGCCTTTAAGATGCCTCTGGTCATCTCTACTATTATGAGATTGCTTCTTTTTACCACTCCGTTCTGTTTTGGGGAGTAGGGAGCGGTGTAATGCCGATTTAGACCAGTTTGTTCGTTGTAATTAGTGAACTGATTGGAGAGAAAACTCCCTTCCTCGATCAGTTGAGGTTTTTTTTTTTTTTTTTTTTTTTTTTTTTTTAACTTGCTACCTGTTTCGTTTTTAAAGGCTTCATCTTTTTATTTCAAAAGGTAGACCCACATTACTCTTGAGTAATCGTCAACCAATAAAAGAAAGTACATGTTTCGAGCGGGTGTGGGTGGAGTAATTAGACCACATATGTCCCCATGAACTAGCTAGAGTTTTTGCTTGGCCTGAAAGTTTGCTTGTGTTAGGTATGCACTTCGAGTTTGCTTTCTCGCCAAGAAACCTTCACATAAATGTGTAGGATGTTAATCTTTGACAAACCAATAACAAAATTCTTGTCTGACATTTGTTTGAGTGTGATAAAGTTCACGTGTCCCATGCAAGCATGCGAATGCCATGTTGATCAGTAGCTTCTCCAAGTAGACATTGAGGCTCAACTTGATTCAAAATTATTTTATAGGGTCGATTTTTATATTGTTTTACTTTCATGATACAATTTTTCTTGTCATCGTGAATCCATAGGAATAAGTCGTGCATAAATATCCGATCCCCTTTTCCGCTAACTGACCCAAACTGATGATATTACTACATAAACTTGGTATGTAGTAAACACATTGAATCTCTTGTTGCTTACCATTCTTACATTGAAAATATACTATGGGACATTTTCCTTCAATTCTTACCTTGGAACAATCTCCAAACTTGATATAGCCTTGAATCTAGCTGTTGAGATCACGAAACTTAGTTTTATCTCCGTTCATATGGTTACTTGCCCCATTATGAAGATACCAAGCCTATGATTGATTTACGTTGCTTCCTAGTGGTATTTGTTGGGTTAATCGTTTATTTATCGGGTCACAGATACGGGTCATTGGATCACGGTTCAATAGTTTTGTTTACGGGTCAATGGGTCATGGTCCTGTAGCTTACGGGTATTGGTAAATGATGGAGGATATCCACATATAATAAACATGGAAGATAAGAAAGGTTTACCTGTTCAAAAGTAAGACCGATTCATGAGGGGTTTTATCCCATATCTAGCTTTACTTTAGGAGTAAGTTTACATAATTATGATGTATTGATTAGATTAGATAGCATAGTTAGAGTAGTATATATAGCAGTAGCTTTCCTTGCATTAGTTGTAACTTTGTTTATTGAATATAAAAAAGAAGTTTTCGTTCACATACATATGTGAGTAGTGTGTGTTGTGTGTGTGTTTTAAAGGGCCTGTACTAACAATTGGTATCAGAGCTTAGGGCTCGTGAATAGGAACAAGGCCGGTTTGAGAGTTGACTTTCGAAGGGGATGAGCCTTCGGGTGCGGGACTGCCATCACATCAGAAGTCAGGTGGTTGGCAGTGACCTTTTTTGTTGCGGGTAGCAGAAAAGTGAAGGTATTATCGCACAAGGAGGTTCGAGACACCAGAGGTGGTAAAGGTGCTGGTGTTTGTCAATGGTTAATGGCGGAAAAGGTGTTTTAGTTTGTGGGTTTCTTTGTCGACTGTTTTTAGTTTTGGTGGTGTCCGCCAAGGTGGTGATTCCGGCGGTAGGTTGTGGGTATGTCACCGGAAAATGGAGAGAGTTACCAGAGATGCATGAGAAAACGAACAGAAAATCGGTCAAAGCAGGTGGCTTTGGGTTTGTTTCGTTTTGTAGGTGAAAGAAGACGGGAAAAGCGGGTTGCTTTGTTTTCTTGATCGGTGAAAGAAGGCTCTCGTATCACAGAAGTGTTAGGTAAAAACGGATTCTGTGTGGTAACAAACAACAGCCGGGTATGGAGGACTTTGGACGTGACCGAGGTAAAAGGACGGGTGTCCAGAAAAAGTTGGGATTGTATGGAGGACTTTGGACGTGACGAGGTAGAAGGTCGGGTGTCCGGGAAAAATCAAGAATCGAGTTGGTTCGAAAAGAAAGTGGTTAAATGCTGTAGTGAAAAGTGTGAATAAACGATTAAGGGGGTGATTGTTGGTTATTCATTTATTATCAGGGTCACAAATACGGGTCATTGGATCACGGTTCAATAGTTTTGTTTACGGGTCAATGGGTCATGGTCCTGTAGCTTACGGGTATTGGTAAATGATGGAGGATATCCACGTATAATAAACATGGAAAATAAGAAAGGTTTACCTGTTCAAAAGTAAGACCGATTCATGAGGGGTTTTATCCCATATCTAGCTTTACTTTAGGAGTAATTAGTTTACGTGATTATGATCTATTAATTAGATTAGATAGCATAGTTAGAGTAGTATATATAGCAGTAGCTTTCCTTGCATTAGTTGTAACTTTGTTTATTGAATATAAAAAGAAGTTTCCGTTCACATACATATGTGAGTAATGTGTGTTGTGTGTGTGTTTTAAAGGGCCTGGTCAACAGTATTAATTTCCTGCATGATTTCTTTCTTTTCGTAGGTTTTACATGTTGCTTCATAATGGCCGAAATCTTGGCAATTGTAATAATAGATTTTGCTTTTGTCTTAATTTTCGTTCGTTTTGTGAGTGTTATGTTGTTGCTGGTTATTACTACATTTTCCTTGGCCTCCACGGTATCCAGAACCTCTTCATTCATCTCTACCTCAACCTTTTCCATGGCCTCGGTAATTGTTTGAGTTTCCCTGGCTGTTCTTGTTAGAGGATCGTAACTGATCTTGGCTCTGTTTCTTACTTCTTTAAGTCCATTCTTGGTGGGTAAGCAAGAGCTTATTTTCTTCGACTTCACCATGACCACAGATTCTTTCCTCATGACCTCTTCAGCCTTTAGTGATCGAACCATTGTTGTTCGAACTCGATTTGCACCCATATACATTGTTTTGAGTGTTTCCCACACTTCTTTTGTCGTTTTCTTCTCCACTATCGATAAAAGGATTTCTTCTGGGATAGCTTGGTATATCGTTGCCCACTACAACAAACGGGATAGCTTGGTATATCGTTATTCATAAGTGAATAAAAATGAATCAGTTTTTACTACAGTAATTCGTTATTCAGTTATGAATAAAAACTATGATTATTTTTTTTTTACAGTTTAAGTATCATTCATATATGAATATAGCATATAATAAACATAGTATATTCATATTTAAATATTAGACGATGCATTCACTTATGAATGAATTATATGAAATTTTTCAAAAAAAAAAACGATTTGATATTTTTCTAACCTCAATTTTCAAGTTTTATTTGATAATCGATGTTGAATGAATGATATGAAGTGGATTTTTGTTGATTATCGATGATGTTGATCTAATAACGCTGGGAGTATAATTAATCATAGATGTTGAAGATCTGATCGTATTCAAGCACAACTGAAGGTTGAATTAAAATAACCAAAAACGAATTTTTGTTTTTAACTGTTGAATCGTGTTGATTATTGACGAAGATCGATGATTGATTAACACTGGATAATGTTGATTATTGTTTAATTGAAGAAATCTTGATGATTGTTAAAAGTTGGAGAAGAAATTTGGATGATTGTTGAAAGTTGGAGAAGAAATTTGGATGATGAACGATGAATGAGTTTGAACTACAGATACGTATTTGAGATTAAAGGTTGTTCTCATATTTACAAGTTTGCCACCGTATCTTTTTATGCTTGAATAAAATGAGTGGCTGAGAATAATTCCCATTGTCAATCTTTTTTATTTTCTCAATTAAACCCACCTATATATATATATATATATATATATATATATATATATATATATATATATATATATATATATATATATATATATATATATATATATATATATATATATATATATATGCTTTTTTATTACCACAAAATAATAATAATAATAATCCAAACATATTTTTATAAATTCTTTTTTCTACCCCATAAATCAAGAGCCACTTTTGCCTAAAAATATTTTGAGACCTCCTCGGTCGAGCAGCAAACTAACGAAGCACAAAATCGATCCCAACAAGCGGTTGAGCGGATACGAAAGAATGGAGCAATCGGAGAAAGAAGCAATTGCAGCAGCATCTGAAGAGCTCTCTCAGGAGTTCAAAACCCTAATCGATTCGCAGGATATGGATTCTTTAAAGCAATTGCAGCATATTATGTACCCTCCTCTTCCTTTCCCTTTCCCTTTCCCAATTTGAATTTGGTTTCCCGATCTGTATGCTTTTCACATGCCCCCTCTCACTCATACACGTACTCTGTGTATGTTTGTGTGTTTATATGTTTATCTTTATGCTTGCGATTATTTATGACAGTTCATGAATTAATATTGATTGGAAATTTGGCTGTTTTGTACTTCAATTCCACAATCAACATGAAAATGTCGGAGCCCCTTAGAGAATCTTTCACTGCATTTATCCATTCATTCTCATGAATCGAAATCGTTTTTGTCCCAAATTTAGCATCCTCTTAGTAATAATCCCCCACCAAAAAAAAGAGATTTTTTTATCTTTATTTTGGAAGATGTTGGTGTTCTTCTATCATGCTATAGTATCGATATAGGATTACTTTTATTACTCTTATGGTTATTCTCTTCTTGATTAATAAGAGGGAAAATGTCGACAAATTACATGTAAATGATTGAGAAACAACATGATTCAACTTAATCTTGTGCTGTGTTTTACCTAATGGAGACCAAAATTAATCATGTAAGCAAGATATGTTTTTTCTTTTTGACTTAATGGACCTAAATGGGAAAAAACTTAATCTTGTAAACTATTTTTGATGATGGGTATGAAAAGGGCATTTACGTCTTTTCTAAAAGATCAAGAGTTAGTCCTTTGTCCCACCTTTTTGGGAATTGAGTGGGACAAAAATTTGCAATCTTTCTCATTGTGCATACCTCCTTAATTCAAATTTTCTTTAAATTTTAAATCTGTTTTATTAAGGTAACTTGTCTTTTGTCAAAATTAATATATTTTTTTTTATATAATTGCAGATTGGGGCGTTTGCAAGATAGTAATGCAGTGCTTTCACATTTTAACGATTATTCAGAGAATTGTTATGCTGAGGTGTCAAGTGATCTTTATACAAATACACGCCTCTTAAAGTCCATGAAATTGGATCTTGATTATATATTTCAAAAGCTGAGGTTGGTTTACAAGTTACAAGTTATTATCTTTTAGTCTTTTTGAGTTCTTTATAACTTATTGATATAATATATATCTGCATTATTTCGTACTATTTCTAGCATTTAACCCTAAATCAATATTTTATTTTTCTTTCAGGAGTTTAAAAGCAAAGATTAAAGCCACGTATCCTGATGCTTTCCCTGATGATTCAACAATAGAAACTCTCGACAGAAGGCCGGATCTAGAAATACCTCAGTGAAATATGATGTTATTTTTTGTTTTCAACATCAAGTTCATATTTTTTACATGCTTTTTTTACAATTTTCTTTTTTTTTTTCTTTTTTTTTTTTTTAATTTTCTTTTCTCCTTTAAGAATGTTTACTTTCTTTTGACATGGTATTTCAGTATTGTCTTATTCAGAGTAACAGTTTTAATCCAATGCACATCAAACACTGTATTCTCATGCCATGTTATGTCAAAAGGCCTGAAAAGGAGGATTTATTTTGTGTAATGACATAATTATGAGGTGAATTGGGGTTTTGCATTTGTATTCTTACAATCATGTTTATAATTATGATCTTATTAACTAAACGTAAATGGTCAAATTGAGATAAGAGGAATGAAAACAATTTTTTTTGGGTAAATTACACCAATCGTCCCTCGTGCACATACCAGAAAAGGTGTTTAGTTCCTATTTTCAAAAATTAACTTGGACCGTCCTTCGTTTGTTTAAAACTTGCACCTTTTATCCCTCTGGACATAAAAAGATTATTTTGCTCTTAAAAAAAATTCCTTTTTAATTTTCTTTTAATGCTTTATCATTTTTTATTTAAAAAAAAAAAAAAAAAAAAAAAAAGTATATCATGTACCCACCCTCCCTCTTCCCTTTCCCACCATCCTTTCCTCTTAATAGAAACATCCATATCTCCGATCAAAATCATCAGATGAATCACCGACGTATTTTCCACAGCCACTTCATTTTGGTTCCAAAATCGTCTCACCACCTATTCTCCTCCTCTTTACTCGATTCAAAACTGGCCTCACACACCATGTACAACCTCCTTCCCCCCATCTAACAACCTCCTGAATCCACCTGTCAAACTCTAACCGTGGTTACGACACAATCTAGAAGAAGAGATTATTAGTAATGGTGATGCTCAATCTGAAACCCCTAAAATGAAATCCGTCATGAAATGCCCAAAGTTCTCAATCTGAAGGAGATCGTCAATTAGAAAAAGAGGATGGGAGAGATGCAGTACAGGTGATGGCACTCGGGTGAAGAAGGAGATCTTCGATCTTGAAACCCTAGGTGGCGATTCGAAACCCTGACTTATGCTCTTGGTTGTTGAAGGTCGTCGATGAGACAAGAGTTGTGCTTGGCGGAAAGTGGGTCACGATGAAGAGGATGGTTGAATGGTGGAGAAGATTACAAGATTGTGAGTGGAGAATAAGGGATATCTGATGGGAAAACAAGGAGGAGAGAGATGTCATGGTTGTGTAAACAATACTAATGGTGGTGAGTGGTGCTCCGATCACGGTGGCGGACAGTTTTCCGGCGATGGTGGTGGTCGGTGGTCTGATGATGTCCGCCCGGAAAGAAAATGGTGGTGTTTGTTATTTTTTTTGTGAGGGTGAGGTTTTAGAAATAAATAAGGGGATATACCTTTTTTCTAAATATTAATATATAATTAATATCAATAAAAAATCAAAAATAATTGGAAATTAAATAAAAAATGGCATTATGGACATTTGAGATTTGACATGGACTAAATTCGCAATAAAACTGCATATCAGAGACGAAGCGTGCAAGTGTTAAAGAAACAAGGGACGGTCCGAGTTAATTTTTGAAAATATGAACTAAACACGCTTTTTGGCAAGTATACTATGGACGATTGGTGTAATTTACCCAATTTTTTTTATAGGAAGAGAATTAAAAAAAGGCTATTATTTTCAAACCCAAATCCCCATATATTGTGTCCTTACCCATTTTGGAGTTCAAATCGCGTCATCTGCCCAAAAATGTTGTGTGGAGAAATTATGTTTGAAGAATTTCTTCTTTACATAAAAAGCGTAAAAATAAGAAAATCACAAGTATAGATTAGTAGTCATGTCCATATTAAACACATTAAATATATATATATATATATATATATATATATATATATATATATATATATATATATCAGATGAGTAAATTACACGAATGATCCCTATGGTTTGGGATAATTTATGTGTTTCATCCCTAGTTTATTTTCTTAACTCGGAAAGTTTTTACTGATTGTTTTTATTATGTGTTTGGTCTTTACTGTTTGTTTTTGTTATGTATTTGGTCCATATCTTATCTAAAAATACTATTATTTAAATAGAAAAAAATTATGAGGTAGGTAAGGTAAGGTGAGAGAGTAACATTAAGGGTGTGTTTATTTAAATAAATTAAAAAATCAAATGCAAAAATAGCATTTTTATGTAAGACATGGATCAAACGCGTAACAAAAACAAACATTAAAAACTTCCGAGTTAGAAAAATAAGTTGTAGACCAAACGGACAAATTACCCTAAAACATAGGAACCATTCGTGTAATTTACTCTTAAAAGATTTAATGTCCCAAATAGATACCAAAGTATACCAATCTTTCTAAATTTATATAGAAGTGACAAGGTTAACACATTCCCAAATTATACGACATAACCATAGAACCACACATGTAACATGTATATTCACTTATGAACATACCCACATCATGATTACAAAATAAACTTGTACAATATAAATCTTGATTACAAAATAAAGCTTCTACATCATAAAAGTTACTCCATAATGTAACAAAATCCAAAAAATAGTATCAACAAAACCAAAAACCCTAAAAATTTCTAGATAAATCCGGGGACTTCCCCGGGCATTGGAGCCAACTCATTGGTGTTAAACCTTTCTTCCTCATAAAAAGTTGCACGGACAACTCTACCCCCGAAAAAGCGACCTTCAAGATCCACAAGTGCTTTTGTTGCTTGTTCCGATCTCTCAAACTGCACGAATATTCTAACCGCTTCATCCACCGGAAAATTCGGCTCCGTAATTTCAAATATCAAAACTCGTGTCACCGTCCCGTATTTTGCACATTCCTCTGCTACTTCGGTCTCTAGATCGTCGTCTACCTCGCCGGGGCCCACCTTCAAAGATTTCAAAAATAATTATATATCATTTGTTTTATGTAGAAATTAATTTAAGGGGTTAACGAAAGAAATAACTACGTAATTTAGTTTATTTGTGAGTTATTTATAGCATCCTACTTTCATTGAAGTATTGTAACTTTAAATTTATTTCATTGCTTTCTATTGCGATTACTTAAAGTGTTTTTTTTTCTTATTAAGGCATTGTACTATGAAGACTTATATTTCTTTCTAGGGTAAATCTCATAAAAGACCTTATATTTTGTGTTTTTTCCGGATTGAACCTCCAAGTTTATTTTTTGCCTGAAAAAACCTTGTGTTTTTTTTATTTTTTTTCCGATCAGGCACTTTTAGTCTTTTTTTTTTTTTTTTCCAAAAACAATTGTAAAACGTGAGGGATTTTTCGAGAAAAACTAAAAATGTTGAGGGTTTATTTGGAAGCATTTAGGAGGTTCAAGTTTTTTTTTCGGAAAAATATAGACATTTGAGGGTTTTTTCGGAAAAAAAAAATGAACAATTACAATGTCTTGTTCAGGCAAAAAATAAAGTTGAGGTTTATTCCGGAAAAAAACACAAAATATAAGGTCTTTTATGAGATTTACCCTTCTTTGTATTACAACATTTTACTTAGAAAAATCTACCATGTGTCCATGTACTTACATTTTTTTAAGAACAATAAGAACATACTTAAATTGTTTTGGATTATAGCAAATGCACTGATTATTCTGACCCTAAATAATCATAAAATTATAATCATAATCAGGTTTTCACACTCACATGCACATCCTACACCGACTGAACTAAGAAAATGACCAAACTGCCCCTGCCTTACCACTTTATTAAGTATACCAATGAATACAAGCTCTGATTGTTGCATAGAAATGGAGCTATAATTTCATATAGGATAATATACATATCTTATATCATAAATACACAGATTAAGTGCAAAATAGCTACAAAAACAGCATGATTGTTTCCAAAAGTTTTACATTCATTATGAATTAGCATATTCCTTCAGACTTGAATTCAAACATCCTAAGAAGGGCAAATAAATAAAGGATTTGACCATTTTAGCCCTACATTCACTTTTTTTTACTATATTCATCAACTTTATGTGAGAGGAGTTGGGAAGAAAAATAAAGGGAAAATAGGTAAAGGGTTTGACCATTTTAGCCCTACATTCCAATTTTTATTACTATATTCATAAAATTTAACAATATTCATCAATTTTAATGTGAGATGAGTTGGGAAGAAAAAAAAAGAAGGGCAAATAGGTAAAGGGTTAGTGTATTAATACATTAAGCAAGTTTTAAGTGTTCCATTAAGCTCATTAAGTTAAAAAGAAACAGCCCCTGAATCCAGTAAGCTCTATATGGATATTTCTTTTTTCACAAAATTTGCACTCAATTATATTTTTTCTTCCATTTAACCAAGTGTATCATTATTTTTCTCAAATATCATTATAAAGACATCACTTAATGGGTAAAAAGATGAAACAGAGCCTAAGTAAGCATAGAAGGGTTATTTTTAACTTAATACAAAAAGAACAAATTAAAGAGAAAGAAAAGGAAATGAGGCTTTCTTTATTAGGTCCTAAAAAATTTGCCTTTATTTACTTATTATTACTTCCATTTCCTCAAATGTACCTATCATATTCTTATTATTTGAACTCTGTTGAGAGAAAGGGAAAGAACATATATAAGAACTGGATGTTCTCATTAAGCAAAACATATACCATGAAATTTTATGAAAGATTTAATGAGGCTTTCTCTACTCTATCCTACTAATTTTCATGGCTAAAATCTTTTTACCAAGTTAACGACGATATATGATCAAGATAAAAAGTTGAAAATCATGTTTGAAGAAAGGAATTTAGTGAAATATGTTTACCATGTTCCTGAGAAGCACAACACGGGTAGGAACACCATTGATGTTAACACCTTTTGCCTTCTTTTCTGGCTGTTGTTTAGGTTCACTAGCATTGACGATAACACCAGCTCGCCTATCTGTCTTCTTCGCCATTAATGGAGTCGTAATCCCCTGCTCCTGTTTACCCAATCCTTGACCTGCTTTCCATCCCATTTTAGCCATCATTCTTTGTGCAGCAGTCATCTGTCCACCAGCACCAACGCCCAAACCACCTGTCTCAGACTTTTCGATACTAAATCCATCAGCACCACCAGTAGGTGGGGAAGGCGACCTCCTAGGGACACCACTACCACCGCCGCCGCCACTCATGGCAGCACGGCGCTTCCACGCTTCCTCGCCGGAGATATTATAATCCTTCTCTCTATCTTTCTCCATATTCTCCCTATCTCGTTTTTCCCTTTCCTCTTCTTCTTGCCGCCGCCGGTCGAGTTCTCTCTTCATCTCAGCCTCGGCGGCTTTCCTTTTCCTTTCTCTCTTGTACTCCTCGTAATCATTTGGTCTAGCGGGATCGTATTCCTCTACCACTGACGACGTGACGCCCACAAGAGCCGGTTGGAACGACGATGAGCTTCTTGTGATCACATCTGGAATCGGAGGGGCAACTGCGGTGGAATTGACGATTCTGGGTTTGGTTTGTTGGGGTTTCAAAAGGGCTTTAGGGGGCGGGATGAGTGAAGAAGAAGATGGTTTGCGTAGAGTTGGTGGTGCCATTTTGACACTGCTAGACCAGACATTGGAGGAAGAATTGGTGATTCTGTTATGAGAATCTTCATCTGTGGATGATGGAGGAGGTAAGTCTCCGTATAATCCACCAAGCATCGTTTGATGAACAACGATAAATTGAAGAAATATAGAGAAGAATCGTCGTGATCTGGAACTTGCGAAAATAGGGCTTTTGCAGTAACGAGGAACAGCTTCGCCTCTTACCCGTTGATTCTGTTCTATTTCATCCCCATAGGTGGTAAACCAATTTACAAGGAAAAAAATAAATAAATAATACAAATAATGCCTGAGAAAATATGTCCATAATAATTATTTTTTAAATTTTACCATAAAATAGTTAAAAGAATACAAAATTATATATATATATATATATATATATATATATATATATATATATATATATATATATATATATATATATATACACTGCAATGGTCATCTGCAAAAGATGATATCATCTTTGATTTTTTTTTTCGAAAACGACATTGAGGTGTTAATTCTAAAAATCTATTCTTGATTTGCAAAAGCTGATGTCATTTGCGAATTCTTTTTCATATATGGTTTTGTCACTTTGACTGCGAAAATCCATACATTTTAGAGGATGTTACCTTATAAAAGAAAGTTTATAAAAAAATTCCTTTGTTTTCCTAAATTATATCCACTTCATTCATTTTTACTCTTATTAATATAACATGAGTTCATTCATGACGATAAGAAAATAGGAAATTGATATATGTAAGATCATTTGTTATAAATTTTTGTGTTGAAGTTCTCGTATGTAATACTCCAAATTTTAAACCAAAATTTTCATTTTAAAATATAAGCAAACAACTTCAAAACCATCTTTTTAAAACTATATAAAATCCATTTGAAGAAGCACGACTATCATTAAGGCCAACATGGCATGTTGACAGCTGGTGGAGAAAACCCTAATTTTAGGGTGTGACACCCGATATAAAGGCCTTAAGTCCTCATGGTTGGCCTCCTTTCCAGCCTCCATTGCCACTAAAACCCTAAAATCGATCTTTAAGTCTCTTGGTGGTGTTCTTGAGCTAGTAAGAAGGTCTTGGTGCTTATTTTTGGTCTTTGTGAAGGAAGAGGAGATCTTGAAGTTTTCTTGCTTGGTGGAAAGGTTTTAGATCAAGAATCATCTTCTTTTGTGCAAGATTTCTAAGGTATGAAGTTCGAACCTTGACTTATAGATGTTTAGATCTCTTCATATTGTGCTTTGTTGTGTTTTTGGTCCCTTTTTGGGTTGATGAGAGAGTGAAGTCATTTACGGGCTTGTTATTCCAGATCTAAGTTTATATTGGACTCCTTGAGTGTAAAGGTGCAAGCTTTATGAGATAATTGGTTACATTCATGGATTAAGTCACTTATTAAGTCCTTTTTAAGCTTAAGAGCTTCATTTAGACATGCATGAACATAAATTTGGCAACTTTACGTGGTTTTCCAACTCAAGGAAGTCAAATCTATGTTTTGGGGATATGTATTTATGGATTAAGTGCTTATTGGTTAAGCCATTGCAATTATTAAGCTTTACGGATTGAGTTTTTAGCATTTTAGGTTGTCCCAATGGATAAAGTTGGAAACTTTATCCTTCTGGACCACATTATGAGCTAGATCTGAGCTTTGGAGCTCTTGGCATTGGAGAAAACAACTTAATGTATTAAGGTGTTGAAACTCGGGAAAACATGGTGTGTTTGCAAGTCAACACGACGTGTTGGCTAGGGTTTTCCCGATTATTTGGATGGTGGCGAAACATGACATGTTTGTAAGTCAACACTGTGTGTTTGGTTAACATGGATTGTTGACATTGATTTTGACTAAAAGTTTGATCGAGGTTGACCTATTAGATTGTTGAATCGGATCTTATTGATTATGTTAGGATGCTAGGAGTTTGCGTGACCCTTGCATGTGTTATGTGATGTTATGTATACCAAATTGGGCTCGATGCTAGAACATATGCTAGTGTTTATGATCATTATGTGTTAGCATGGTTATGTGATATTGATTGTATGTGTATAGCGGGAGAGGTTTAAGAATAACATATCTGTAAACCGAGTGGGGCTCGATGTTACACCCCCAAACCAGAATGGCGGAAACATTCGGGGTTGGATGACTTCATGTAGTATCATAACAGTTGAGTAAATAGTAAAGAAAGCAAACACAACCATCATAAATATAATTTAAAAAGTTACATTGTTGATTGTATTACATGTTTCAAAAGAAATTACATTATGATGATATAATAAGTTTGAAATTGATGCCTTAGCGCCCCTTTCCAAAAGTTGTTGTTTACCTGTATTACTGAATCTCTGAGAAATACAAGTAGTTTTGAAAAAGTGTCAACAATTAAGTTGGTGAGTTCATAAGCATTTTTGTTTAAGAATTATATGCCTCTTTGTATAAAGTAATTGAGTTTGTATCTAGAAAATCCAATATTTTCCATAAATGGATAGTAGTTTTAAAAGTTCCCAAAATCAAAATGCATAAGTATTTTCCATACCTAAAATAGTGTAAGTAGATTTATATATGTATATCTAATCACTAAGGCATTTGTTAGCCCCGTAAATCAGAATGTTTTAATACTTCATGTGAGTTTTATAACCGTGTTATTGACCCAGACTGCATGTAACAACGTTCTTCAGGCGTTGGAGTGTTATGACGTTTATCACCCCAGACCTGCCGGTCTAACTGTAGCTAACAGTTTAGGTGCGGGATTGTCAGTCCCGTATAGATCTATACACAAGTATCATGCTCTCTCTACAAGAGATTATGGTTTATAATATAGGACTTGAAATGCGTACTTGAAAGTACGTGAAGTCAAACGTCTCACAAAAGTTAGTAACAATAGATTTACATATGAAAAGTCCATTTTTCTTGTAATTGTAAGTATTCCCTTTTCATAGTGTTTATAAAGTGTAAAATATCATGAATATCTCGTAAACTATACCTATTATAATTTTTCAAAAGTATGTTTTGTTTGAATGATAAACCTTAGTGTATTACCAACTTTGCATATAAAGTATAACATTTGTAATAATGTTATTTTACTTATTTAACATTTATACAAAAAATGTAGATAAAGTATTAGAAACTGTATGTGACGATTTGCATTTTATCGTGAGTTTTTCTTGCGTTTCACTTGTATTTCTCCCCCTAAAACATAGTAAAAACGTGGGTATGAACTCACCTAGAAAGTGTGATGATTTGAAGAAAACGAGACTTTTCTCGGGCAACACTTCGGCCGGAAGGAAGTGAGTTTTTCGGGTATTTCAGAGCTTCGAACATTCGTCGGTGTTTTGATACGGAACCGGGGCACCGGGGTATCTTCGAACGAATCGAAAGTGAGAAAACGGGAGAGAATTGGTGTAAATTAGCAAAAGAAGTCGGAAGCCTCGCACCCTTTTTAGAGGGGTGGAACTGGCCCTCGTACGCTGGGCGTACGTCATGCATGATGCCATCTTCGGACTCTGGACTTCGGATGGAACAGGCTAGAGGGTAGCAGGGGACGTGGTCGATCTGAGGCCCTGTATTGAGTACATTGGGCGTACTCTCGTACGTCGGGCGTACTCCCCCTCGGTTTGTGTGTCCCGAACTTCTAAAATATGTAACTTTTGCATGCGGGCTTCGTTTCTGACGTTCTTTATATCTATGCGTAGGTGAGATTATACTCTACAACTTTCATTTAGACTTCATTGGCTAATTTTGAATTTATTTTTAATGTTATATTTTTAACATGCGGGGACTGGAAAAGTCCGTTAAAAATCCATAACTTCTTCATCTGATGTCCGTTTTCATCTGTATTTTTACCGTTGTACCACTATTGTCAAGATTATTAATTCTCGTTTAGGTTGTGTCGGCTAAATATCGTTCGATCTCTATTTCGAGTTTTTAGTTGTCTACTACTACTCTGAAATTTAGAAAAATCATAACTTCTTCATACGAAGTCAGATTTGGACATTCTTTTTATGTATGTTCACGGTTTGATGATATCTACGACATTCATTTAGGTACCTAAGGATAAAAAGTATTTTATTGAGCTTTCGCGTTTTACGTTTAACAGTGTTTTACCGGTTTTGTTGCGGATCTTTGATTGGTCATAACTTCTTCGTTATAACTCGGATTTTCATATTCTTTATATTTTTGATAACCTTATTACGATATCTACCACTTAGGATATTCATAAAGAGAGTTGTGAACATTTCATTTTCGACTCTTTTATTACTAATCTCATAATTAGGGGTGTGCGCGGTGCGGTTTGGTGCGGTTTCGAGTTAAAACCGCAAACCGCACCGCATCTGCGGTTTGAATATTTTAGAAACCGCAAACCGCACCACATATGTTCAAAACCGCATGATGCGGTGCGGTTTGATGCGGGCGGTTTATGCGGTTTAGTTGCGGTTTGTGCGGTTTGATGAGTTGTTTAACATTAAATCTATCAAAAAACCAAAAATCTGACCGGATTAAATGATTGCTTTCATTTTATAAAAACAAATACAATTTTCGAGTTAAATTGTTTTTAATAAATTGTAACTCATGTTACTATAGTTTTGTAAGTATCATTGTTATTGCTTTATATTGCCGTTATAATTGATATATTCTTGTAAACCATGAGATCTTGATCTAATAGTGATTTAATGTTACGTTATAGATATTTGGTTATTGTAAGAAATATATTTATATACATCATTTCTAAATCGTGATTTGAAGTTATAACAAAATAAAGAAAAATAAGTATATATATAACATGCGGTGCGGTGCGGTTTGAACCGCAGTTTTATAAATACAAACCGCAAACCACACCGCATAGTGCGGTTTGATAAAATGATGAACCACAAACTGCACCGCGAAATTCTAAACCGCATTATGCGGTGCGGGCGGTTTGTGTGGTTTGTGCGGTTTTTTGCACAGCCCTACTCATAATAGGTTACAATATTTGAGCTTAGATCATTACATTGATTCGAAATATCCGGTTGTCACATCATCTACCCGTTAGAGAGAATTCCATCCCGAAATTTATTCCAAGATAAGTATTTATGGACTAGGGGAAAGATGCGGGTATTTTTGTTTCATCTGATCTTCGCACTCCCAAGTGTATTCAGGCCCTCGCTTTGCATTCCAGCGGACTTTCACAATGGGTATGTGACTTTGTTTAGTTCTTTTAATTTCCCTATCCATGATTTCTACGGGTTCTTCTACGAAGTGGAGACTCTCGTTGATTTCAATCTTGTCTAGAGGGACAACGAGGGTCTCATTGGATAAACACTGTTCTTTAAGTTTGACACATGAAAGGTAGGGTGTACGTTATTGAGTTCCTGCGGTAATCGAAGTTTGTATG